AACCCGCGAGGCTCGCATGAAGCCAAGATCCATTAAGTAACTTGATCTCACCGTGTGTTTTTCGGCATTATGAGCTCCGAGTTTCAGTGCTGACAGATATAGACCTTCACTGTACCGGAAGATACTGGTTCAGTGATGATGTCAATGCTTCATTTTTGAATGCAGGTAGTGCTATTTCAAGCCGTGCTCATGGGTTTCATAACTAACAAGATTAAAACGGGATGCTTGCAATGTAAGTATGAGGCGGCTCTTCGAACCCGTTCTCAGACCTCGCTAACTAGTCTCCACCAGCGACAAACAATTCCATGAGTAACTTTCACAGTCGTGACGCCGGCCTGAACCGAAAAGTGGACATGCCGGTTATAGCAAAGATCGACGCCCTTTGTCTGCAATCAGGCCATCACCACTTATGACGTAGATCGTCCGCCAGGCCTCTACCACGCTGTGGCCGTCTCGCTGAGGGTTGATCTGCCATATGGGGTCAAACGGGCTCAAACCACATTATGGCCGTCGGAACGTGGCTTCGCATTGATCCGTAGCACAAGGCTGATACAAATTCAAGCCTTCCACCATTTGTTTGCAGGGTTTACTTCGGCACCACCCAAATACACTCTATGACCTTCCACAACCTTGACCCGTGATAACGACATTTTTTTAGGCAGGCTTCAATTATTATGAGTTTGGTATGCAGAAATATACATTAACAGTCCTCTAAACAATGTTCAGGCTTGTCATGACCTTGAACGTGGCCATAAGAAAAAATGACGTTCTTATGACCTTTAAAATGGCAATCTGATAACGAAGCATGGCATGACCCTGTCGACTAAACAATTTTGTGACACATTTCAGGCGCTAGATCACATCATAATGTGCTGGAGGTCAAAGAAGACGTAACTTTCCTAATTTGATTCGCTGGCACATTTATCTGGAATAATCACAAACATAAAACACGATCATTAACTAGACATGCAGTGATTGCGCCATGCAAAAGCAACGCATTACCACTTGTTGCGTTCCAAACCACTCAGCAGTGGGTATGTCGTGCACGAAGCTAATGACGCCGAACATAGCTACAATTTTCACCTTTTTGCCATAAAAGGCGTAAAGAATGAGCTCAAAGATGGACGGTGTGACAAAACAGGACATCGAATCTCCAGGTCGAGTTAAGTTTACCCGGAGCAAAGCCAGCACATCATCCCCACATGCTGCACAGTCTGGGAGACGTCGCTGAAAAGGGTGACGGACCGCATCAAGCAGGCTGTGCCGGCGAGACCTCGGCTCGTTGCTTAGCGGTCGCTACGTGATATATCCGCAGTTGTTTAACACCGTCTTGAGGTGGTGAAGTCGGCGACAGTGTCGAATCCCGGTCGTGTACCAGGCAGCGCCGTTCAAAGTGGAGGGTCTGCCACTGCAGGGCAGCCGTGGGCTGAGGTCGGGCGAGCAGGTCCGGGATCGCTCCAGGAAGCGACACTTGCTCTGGTTACATGGGTGCCTGACGGTAGCCCGAATTTAGCCCGGAAGGGGCAGTCCAACTGTGGACCAGGGACGGGACGGAAAGCGGGGACACGCGCGTTGTCAGGGGCGGAGGCAGGGCAGGCTAAATCAGGAACAGAAGGATCAGGAGCGGAAGACTCAGCGCAACGATGCGGACGTCGGGAAAGAAAAACAGAAGCACAAAACCATGAAACAGGTGATGGCAGGCCGAATTTGGACACGCCCATGCGATTCAGACTACAAATTCCTTCCTGAACGGATGGTCCTCTCATGAGAAGGGATTTCAGCCGGCGCGCGGCTCGACTTTCTTGAACGGCGTGCTGGTGTTGACATGAGCCAATAGTTTTGATCGAGGCCGGGTCCTCGTTTTATCTGAATCACAGCTGCTCGTGCAGAGAAATAAGCCCTCGTTAAATTCGTCGTAGAATCGTAAGCACCTGTATGGCACGTGGCCATGCAACGCTCAGCGGCTGCACTTCCTGCTCGCCGGTGTGCTTGGCGCAAACAAACGCCCGGCTGCCGTAATGTGCTGAAGGCAAGGCCATTTTGAGTACTTTGGATACGTCCCAGAGACAGGAGTGTACAAATGCATGATGCCTGACTTATTATACAACAACAGCCTCAGAAAAACACCCTGCAGGTTCGAGAAGTTATGTCTCAGCATAACATTTTAAACTAAGCGAGACGCACAGTTGACAGGTGCTCGTTGACATCAAAGAACCTGCTTCCCAGGATCACCAGCACAAATGCTCAGAACAAATAGACAGGTGTGTACCTTTTCATTTGTTGGTAGGGCGCGGTGTTGGCTGCCTCCGGGTTTGGATAAAACGGTTTTGTTAGCCCTATTCCTCGTATAATAACCAGGAAGAAGAAAAGACAGGTGCATTGATATTTCGGCTGCATGCCTTTACAAAACGACTGTGAGTAGGACATTCAAAATTATAAATAACTTGGCGAGCCCACTCCATTTTTCGTTTTTTTTTTTAGACTGTAGGCCACAGTCTTT